AGTTCAGCTTTCCTGACCTTAAAATTGTGTGTGGAACCTGGTCTTATGGTAAGCTAATAATGTAGGTGGTTTCCTCAACTATTTATTTCCGAATATTCCACCTCCACAGAGCAAGGGTTCCATGTTCATGGGACTCTGCTTCCATGTTCTCTTGTCCTGCTTGCTCTCAATTTGAACATAAGTAGGCTGTCCTTGTCAACCTTGTCTATTCCTCACCCCAGAAGGGAGATATAGAATATTTTACAAATGGAAAATATTAGAGGGGCTGGTTCCTAATCTGTACACGGAAATAACTCCACATAAGACCAGGAGACATGGCAGGATGTGCAAAATAGCTCCGCCGAAAAGCAGAGGTGCAATAGTTATGCTGAGAGAGAACTCTGTCGATATCAAATGGCCAAGACCTTTCAACACGACTCTGCAAGACGCTACACATTAGGGGCATAACTGGCCGACCTCTCACGGTGTTCAAGAGTGTGCTTCATTAACACCTCCAAAGCACTTACTACTTACAATGAGTGCCACATTAGTACTTACACTGTATAATGACATCTCAGTAACTTGGAACAATACCCATCAATTTCCTCTCTCTCACTACACTGGATAATTACACGGCACTTGGTACAAACAATGACTTGAGTTCCGTAATAAAAGAGCAACGTTTGAGTAAACTGTTAGGGTGCGCGCTAGGCATGTCGTGTAGATTATGATCAGCTGACCAACACGGAAGGAAGCTCAGCCACGGGGCATCGATCCCCGGGGCCTGATGACCCGCTGCTTCAGGTACACGGAGCACCCCCGGACCAGTGTGCCCACCCACCACACACACCACGACGAAACTACAACGTTGATACAACATTCTAACAAGTTTTAACACCTAACAAGTTGTAACAACGTTCAAACTCGTCATAAAAACGTCATAACAAGATGTAACAACTTTATTACAAGTTGTAACAAGCTGAAAACAGGGAGACTTAGGTTGTGTATTTGCAGGTTATAGGAGTGTGTCAACACCAAATATACAAACTGGTTATGCTTTCGTGAGGGCCAATCAAGAGAGGCATCTTCGGGCGGCTTATCTCAGGACACACGCACTGGAGTGATGAGTATGAGTGGTGTGATGAGCCACCGTGACTGTGCTGATGAGTGTCTAATTGTGGCTGGCTTCTTCATTACCTGTTCACCAGTTCCAGAGTTTTTCTAATCCTGGGTGACTGACCTGTGAGCCTATGCTCCCTGGTGACTGCCTGACCTGTGAGCCTGTGTGTCCTCGTAGCCATGACAACCAGGATGTTCCAGGGAAGTGTTGTGGTATGTGTGCCTGGGGGGAGTATTGTGGTACGTGTGCCTGGGGGGAGTGTTGTGGTATGTGTGCCTGGGGAGTGTTGTGGTATGTGAGTCTGGGGAGTGCTGTGGTTGACCCGTGACCAACTTTCACCCCGCTCCGTAATGCCGCTCACCAACTGCCTCGCCCTCATCAGCCTGAAATACACTGTCAGGAACAGGCCTAATAGAAAAGCCTAGGATTACCGGCCTCGGATTACACAGTGACCAGATGACAGCTGTGGTGTGACTACAGCAGCTGTGTGGGGCTAAGAAAGAGTACGACTTGTGGCTAAATACTTGAAGAACAAGCTGAATGTCTTGTTGGTCGAGGAAGCAAAGAGAGGGAAGGAGTGGATATGACGCGGGAGAACCTGGGGAAGAGTGGGGGGGGAAGAGTGGGGGGGGGTGGGGGGGGGGAAGAGTGGGGGGGGGGAAGAGTGGGGGGGGGGAAGAGTGGGGGGGGGAAGAGTGGGGGGGGGGGGAAGAGGGGGGGGGGGGGAGTGGGGGGGGGGGGAAGAGTGGGGGGGGGGAAGAGTGGGGGGGGGGAAGAGTGGGGGGGGGGGGAAGAGGGGGGGGGGAAGAGTGGGGGGGGGGAAGAGTGGGGGGGGGGGAAGAGTGGGGGGGGAAGAGGGGGGGGGGAAGAGTGGGGGGGGGGAAGAGTGGGGGGGGGGGGGGAAGAGTGGGGGGGGGAAGAGTGGGGGGGGGGGAAGAGTGGGGGGGGGGGAAGAGTGGGGGGGGGGAAGAGTGGGGGGGGGGGGGAAGAGTGGGGGGGGGGAAGAGTGGGGGGGGGGAAGAGTGGGGGGGGGGAAGAGTGGGGGGGGGGAAGAGTGGGGGGGGGGAAGAGTGTGAGGGGGTGAGGGGGGGGGGGGGGGGAGTGAGGTTGAATACTGGGGTGAAAGTTGAACCCGAAGGCTGACGTCTCGAGTACCAGGGCCACGGGCACAGAATAAATACAATAACATAACTCAAGGACACTGCGCAGCAGACAGTCCAGTCCAAGACCACAACTAAATATTGTAAACAGTTTCGGCTTGGCACCCCAAATGGTGAGAAATATGAGGAGTCATATATGAACATTACTAACGACTTGACGGGCTTGAAATACTCGCGGTCTCGTTCTCTATCTTCTGGTCAGAATGGGAGCTCCACGCAACCCGTTCTCTTAAATATTACGTCACTTTTCGCTCGTATGCGACACTCGGGCTAAAAATCTACATAATTCAAAATGAAATCAGCTCACGAAAGTGACGTACTGTCCCGTTTTTTGTTTTGGGTCCTCTGGCTTAGGCTGTTAGGTTAGGAGAGGAAAGTTTTAATTAACGGTTTTCGAGACGCTAAGAAACCTTAGGAGAACTTCCTGTCCTCCTAACCTACCACAGGACCCTTAACTTGCTGTTTTAGAAAAAAAAAATAATGCAAAATCAATTTTCTTATTGAATTATGTCGTTATTTGGCCGTGGCGCATACGAGCGAAAAGCGACGTAACTTTTAAGAGGATGGGTTCGATCCCTACGAGTCCTCAGAGCATGCAACCCCCCCCCCCCAACCACGGATAGATGGTGATGGAAGTGAGAGATATGGCAGAGGTGTATGGGTGACAGGTGGGGGGGGGGGTTAGATCATCTAAACTATGGTGGATGTTCCCATAATTACCGGGGCTGGTGCCCCTGTGTCCAGCTGACGTAATACACTATGATGGAATACACCCGGACTTGCTGGCAGCGTTGGCCTGGACGTGTTGTAATGAGAGGAGATGAACACAACATTATGGGGGGTCACCATTATTTTGTTTTATTTTCAATTTAAAATTATAGCAACACATTTTGTTCATAGGTCTTTGTCTATTGTATCTATTTAATAGAAATTATTGTTATTAGAGGTGAACAATGTTTGCGAAACAAAGCTGTTTATACATGTGTGAAACAGTCATTGTGTATGATGTTTGTTCTTTAACAGTTGAATAGTTCAGTTCATGTGTCGTCTGTCTTCAGTTCAGTCGTCTATAATATTTATAAACATATTCTTCCTTAGTCATGTCCATCCCAATCTCCGAAACACATGGATAGGAGGAGGCTGAGGAGGATAGTAGGATGAGAGGCTGAGGAGGAGGAGGCGGCGGCTGGGTGGACTATGCACGGTGTGGACTGTTATGGGTCATTACTAAGACTAGAGATGCAGCTTTGAGGAGCTGTGGGCGACACATGTCCTTCCTAGAGGAAGGAAATTCCTTCCTTCCCTCCCAGGCTCAGTGGTCAGGGCTGCGTCCAGGGCTGCCCACCACCACACTTACACCCAGTACTCGAGTGCTCTGGTGTGCTCCTCAAAGAATAACACGAGGTGGAGCACACATTCCATCACGCACCTGCCACGCATCACCGGTCCCGCACAACTAAGAGTCGTGAAAACACACGTCTCTTTGACGTTTGACGTGTGGAACATATTGGCACATGTGTGCGACGTGACTCAAGTACCGTTTTGCCACCGTGTGACACGATACAGGTACTGTCAAGCCAGTGTGTGACACGATACAGGTACTGTCAAGCCACTGTGTGAAACGTGTCGAGGCACGCTTGAAAATGACACCCCCTTCCCCCGATACCCTGACTCACGCCACCCTGCTATCCTGAGTGTCCTCACGCATCCCACTCACCCATCAGCCAAGGCACACACACTGCCATTACAGAGAGGCCACACCCCTGGCGCCACACACCACCCTACATGACACAAGACCTGCCACGCCCTGACCCCACACCCACCATCATTGCCTCCACCTCCGCCCTTAATAAATTGTGTTCTGTTCGTGTCCGCGCGAGCCAGGAGCCAGGGAGCTGGGTGACGCCCTCTACGCTTTCAATAAAACACCAGACAACACTAAAACAATTCCTAATTGTGACTAGCCTTGTGCCGACCAGGGAGCCGGTCGGCCGAGCTGACAGTACGCGGGTTCTTGTGATCCTGTGGTCCTGGGTTCGATCCCAGGCGCCGGCGAGAAACAACGGGCAGAGTTTCTTTCACCCTATGCCCCTGTTACCTAGCAGTAAATTAGGTACCTGGGTGTTAGTCAGCTGTCACGGGCTGCTTCCTGGGGGTGGGTTAGTGGTGACTAGAGCTGTGTATGGGGATGTCCTGGTGCTCCGCCAATTTTATGACACTTCGTGTGTTCCCTAATGTGTGAGGTGTCTTGCTGTGTAAGGGGTAAGGTTGACGTGTCCCTCTAGTGGGGTATATAGTGTCCAGCAACTGAACAGGCCGAAACACGGTCCCCGCGGCCCGGTCGAGGACCGGGCCGCGGGGACACTAAGCCCCGAAATCATCTCAAGATGCGTGAAAACTGACACAGGCGCAGCTTGAGCAAGCATGGCCCGGGGGGGGGGGGTGTACACGATTGTGACGAGAGTATAATAATGTGTTGTTATTGTTGTTTTAAATTCAGCTACTGGGAACAAAAAGTTGCAAGCAGCACCGGCTATGGTGAGCCCGTCGTACTCACCTGCCACAGGAGACGTGTGTATATAATAATTTCTCAACAGTAACTTTTATACCAGTTACAAAACCCCCCGCCCAGTGAGTGCTCATCCGTGCATGTGCTTCACACACGCAAGCCACTTACAAACTCAAAGAGATTCCAATGTTATTAACAACCACTGCCTAAAGAACTATAATGTCAACTTTACCTTCCAACGCCAGCCATGCCTCACCACGCCCGTAATTACCTGCAAGAAAAGAATGTTTGTTATTTGCGAGTCACAACGAAACAAATAATACAACACACACTTGTAAAACAGAATTTTTGAACGAAGGATTGGCAGGGGGATAAATGCCCCACCAAGATAATACTACGTACCTTACATCCCAACTGTTACATAACCAAAATTCCCCCACCAAATATAGGAGGTGATATTTACCAACCAGCCCCCAGCATCGTTCAGTTGCTGGACACTATATACCCCACTAGAGGGACACGTCAACCTTACCCCTTAAGACACCTCACACATTACTGAACACACGAAGTGTCATTAAATTGGCGGAGCACCAGGACATCCCCATACACAGCTCTAGTCACCACCAGCACAGCCCCCAGGACACCCCCCAGACACAGCCCCAGCCACCACAAGACCCCCCCCCCCATCTCTTCTGAGAGCTACAACATGTAGGCCTACTGCCAGCCTCATTATAATGTATATCCGAGATAATGAATTATCACATTTTGCCATAATACTCTAGCAAATTTTAACAATCATTCAACAAAATTTCTGACTGAAGATATTTTGCCGAAACATGTTATAATAACCAGTAATAACCTAGTTATTACTAGTTATAGCTCACAACGATGTAGAGAAGAGATTTTTCCGTCACGTAAGACAAAGTCCACTCACCTGTGAGTTTCTCTACATAGTCTAACCCAAATTATTAAGTAAAAACGACTTCTTGTACGATGTTTAACATTTAAATGGCAACAAGAGAAGCATGTCGGGCCAAGCCCACGACAGTCAGAGGTCAGCCACGCCCAAATCACACTGTCAAGACCTAAACAAAACACGTACTTCCACAAAAACTTGCTTTACTCTTAAATTAACGTGAGGCACAGAAAAACACGTGTGGAGATTCCAGGTCAGAGCCGCCCCCCAGCAGGAAGTCCCGCCCCTCCCATAACCCTTCTCCCTCCGGCAGCCACTGTTAACCCGCCAGTCTTGGAAAGACCTGAAACTGCAGGCGAGGAGTCACAATAACGTGGCTGAAGTATGTTGACCAGACCACACACTAGAAAGTGAAGGGACGACAACGTTTCGATCCGTCCTGGATCATTCAAGTCGATTGTCGACTTGAGAATAGTCCAGGACGGACCGAAACGTCGTCGTCCCTTCACTTTCTAGTGTGTGGTCTAGTCAAGACCTGAAAATGATTCAAGACTCGTCAAAAGACCCTTCGGGGCCTGGCCTGTTACCACTGAGGCAACAGTGGGCGGAACACCTTGCTCCAGAAGGTTTCCAGCAGGGAAAAGTTGTCAAGAATTAAATATAATTCACAGTGTTGATGAAACCAGACGCGATATTAACCAAACAATCCTCGCCACACGATATAAAGCTAGAGATATTAACCAGGAGAATCTGCGAGAGACGATACACACATTAACTGAGAAATTATACCAAGGGAGTTCTATTCTTCGATGTTGGTTTCCAACTCTCAATAAAGAATTCCGGGTTCGAATCCCGAGCGGACAGAAATGCCTGGGCACATTTCCTATCAACTAATGCACCTGTTCACCTAGCAATAAATAGGTACCCAATCTCCCAATCTTGGGCAATACCAATCTCCCTTCTTTACCAAGCCACAGGGGTGCTCTTAGATGCTCTCCATCTACATCCTTGGATGCTGTAACACCGCCCGGCCTCTCCCTCTGGGCGGGAGTACTGGGGCCGCGCCCCTGGCGGTCCCCCACACCACACACTATTAATGGGACCAGTAATAAAAACTGCGCTGTTTTACCGCCGCGTTATAAAAGGTAAATTGCACCCAACGGCAACATCAATTTGAGATCATGTGGTGAAGCAGCCGGTGATACGACCCCTTACGGGCGAACCAGCGGCCCAATTGACGCTCCCGCGACCCTACGCCCGTCAGGTCTCCTCACAGCTTAGCAATATAAAAACACAAATATCTCTAACAAATAAAAATACTCGCTTATGGCCATACAGGTACATATAACATACACATATACACTCAGCAAACAGTAGACGTGATCTACACCGCTTTCCAAAGTGATATTATAACCTCAAGAAATTACTTTAGTCCAGTGTATTAAACATCATTAACGGCAGACTACAGCATGTTATACAGGTCCCCCTAGGGAGCCGGTCGGCCGAGCAGACAGCAAGCTGGACTTGTGATCCTGTGGTCCCGGGTTCGATCCCGGGCGCCGGCGAGAAACAATGGGCAGAGTTTCTTTCACCCTATGCCCCTGTTACCTAGCAGTAAAATAGGTACCTGGGTGTTAGTCAGCTGTCACGGGCTGCTTCCTGGGGGTGGAGGCCTGGTCGAGGACCGGGCCGCGGGGACACTAAAGCCCGGAAATCATCTCAAGATAACATTAAGATAGCACTGGTCCTTGAGGCGGGGACCCCTGCAGCTCCACCTACAGGTCCTCACTACCACTCCAAGTTAGGGCACCGCATCCTGCCAGGTCAATCCCCCCCCCCCACAACTGTTAACACATGATCATTGAACTACGGGCTCACCATAGCCCGTGCTACTTGGAACTTTTTGTTCCAAGTAGCGAATCTTAAAAACAACAACATGAACACTTTCCTCTAATAAACTAAAGTGTATATGACCCACCACGAGCCTCTGGCCACCACTTACAGAAGACACGTAACAAACTACATCATATGTGCCAGTGTGTGTCTGTGCTTCCCTAGAGTGTGAAATCCTGTTCTGTTCCCGCCACGGAAACCTGGAAACCAGCTGGTTCGATAACCACCAGGTTTCCTCAATCACCTGAAACCTGATAACAGAGATATCGGTTATCTGATGACTCTTGTTTGCGCGCGCGTTTGCGCAAAAAAATATTTACAGGCGCTAGGTATGGTTCAAACCTTACTTTAGGGGGACTGACAGCTGAGTGGACAGCGCTTCGGATTCGTAGTCCTGAGGTTCCGGGTTCGATCCCCGGCGAAGGCGAAAACAAATGGGCAGAGTTTTTTTCACCCTGATGCCCTGTTACCTAGCAGTAAATAGTTACCTGAAAGTTAGACAGCAGCTACGGGCTGCTTCCTTGGGGGAGGGGGGGGATATCAAAAAGAATACCTGGTCGAGGACCGGGCCGCGGGGACGCTAAGCCCCCGAAATCATCTTAAGAACTTCAAGATGGCCCTGAGCGCCACCTTCGGACACAACCTTGCCCTGACAATCGACCCCAACACGACTCATCTGGGAGAGGTAAACAACCAATCTACTGTTGTTTATAAACAATCTTTATCATTATGCTTCGTAACCACCCCCCTTCACCGCCTCCCTCCGACCACTGATAACCTCTCCCTTATCGTGGTCTTATCTCTCGCACTTTTATATTAGTCTTCATGTCTCTATATAATCGACGAGACGAAACACATGACATACAACACACACATGTAACTAGGTGAGTACACAAGGCTTCGTAAACAACCCCCCCCCTCCCCACAGAGAAATAATGACAATGTGGCTTGTTATTAACTAACATAACTACCTTCCACCGGCAGTTAATAGTTACTGCACTAGCAAGGTGAACTACCCTAATCCCCTTAGCCTGGTGTTGAAGGGGGGGGGGGGGGGACCTACACATAATGTATACCAACTTTCTGCCGCATAATGCCCGGGTTAATTGGTAGTGTTAGGGAGGCAGGGGAGTGAAGGGGCAGAAATGGGGAGAGGGTAAGGATGGGTGAGGGGGGAGGAAGGGTAGGGATGTAAGGGAGGCTCCAGAAGACTTAATGGGCGACAATACCTTCCGCTGGGGACATTCCCTGACAGGGAGAGAATGTGTCTCTCCATCTTCCCTCCCACATCCCTACTCCCTGACTCACCCTCCCCGCCCCTCATCAACTTCCTCCCTCCCTCCCTCCTCCTTCCCCTCTAATCCCCTCCCTCACACCACCTGTCTCTCCACAACACTCACTTCCCTCATTGCTCTTTCACAATTGTCCTATTTATAAATTTTTTCCCTTCATAGTATACAATGTCCAAGCTAATGGTGAGTTACACTCCTTAATATATAAGGAGTTCAACAGACTAAAGGGCTGTTGACCAAACCACACGCTAGAAATTGAACAGACGACGTTTCAATCGACTGGATAAAGGTCCAGGACGGACCGAAACGTCGTCGTCTCTTCAATTTCTAGTCCATGGTTTGGTCAACATTTTTCAGCCAAGTTATTGTGACTTCATCTGCATTAAAGGGTGTGTGTGCATGGCCTGCAGTGTGGCTGAGATCATTATCACAAGCGTCTACTGCCTTTGTTGTCACCACTCAGGTAAATCTGGATTCATTTTCTCTCGGGGTTTCATGAACGACGTCATTAATGTTGTCTCAGGTGAGCATGTTTGAGCAGGTGGTCGGCCACGTGGCTTTTTGTTTGGCGGGATTGTTAAGGGTGCTTAGGGGCGGAGCGGGGGAGGGGGGATGAGCAATGATGAGTTAAGTGGAGGAGAAAGATGATAACTAGTGGAGGTAGAGCATGAAGATACACAAGGCGCTGGCCGCTGCCAAAATCTGTTTTACTAAAGAATAACAAATTATTTCAAGGTCCACCAGCAGTGACTATATTCTATCAGCAATCCCAGTGGCTCAATGGTAAAACACTCGCCCGGCGTTTTGCGAGCGCTCCGGACTAGGTTCGTATCCTGGCCGGGGAGGATTAACTTAGCACCAATCCTTAACTGTAGCCTCAGTTCACCCAGCAGTGAATGGGTACCTGGTTGTTAAACGATTCGGCAGGTCGTATTCCAGGGGAAAAATAAGATTAAGGACCTGCCCGAAACGCTACGCGTGCTGGTGGCTTTACAAGAACATAAGAGCTCTTGTATATATAAATTAAAATAAAATATAAAAACAAAATTCAGCAAATGTACACTTCACAGTGAATTACACATTTCACTCGTCAATACTTAACTCAAGACAATAACACTTAAGTGTAATAACACAACGGTGGCACAAGAGGTCACTTTCAACTATGCACTA